CTCTTTCTCTTTCTCTTTCTCTTGAAAGGGCGTGTTTGGAAGCTGAGTCCATCCTGACATCTCCATGCCCCATGCACAGAAATTAACAGGCCACATTTAGCCATGGACAGAGCAGTGAAATTATAAAATGATTGAGAATTTGTCACTCATATGAATTCCGGTGCTGAGATAGTGATAATGGGGAATTAATCATACTGTGTAACCTTACAAGCAGAGCAATTATTCAGCTTTTGGATCATCATTACAGATTTCATCACGCTTTGGTTTAGGTGGACATCTCAACAGAAGAGTTGGAGTGGGGACAGCTCATGATTGATAATCCCTGAATTTAATAACAATTATGAGTGTCTAAAGTGGAACTACCATTATGGAGATGTAGGGTTGGGACAATCCCTGTGCTGGAAATCCTTAAWTTCAGCATCTCCAAAGCAGGCCATACCTGCCCAGTGCTATCCCATCTTCCAGGTCATGACTGGGATCTATGAAAAGCTTTGAATTAAAATCTAGGAAGCCTCTTGAACCAAGCTGGGGAGAAGCTCAGCTGTTGCTGTGGGCAAATGCAGTGGGTCAGTCAGCAACCCTGCCCACGGGTCATGTCTTCTGGGTGACATAAAACAAAGGTGTGGGATAAATCTGTCCCTGGGAAAATGCATTTTCATCATTCCCTGTGGAAGAGACCTGCAGAAATCACAGTGTAAATCCTGCAGCAGTGGTGGTAGCCCAGGCAGCAGACTTAAAGAAGAACCTTAAAGGCAATTTTAAAGTCTCCAGGTTTCCTAATTGATTGATTGATTGATTGATTGATTGATTGAGGAAAATCTGAGCCCAAGCTTTTGCTGGAGGCACTGTCCCAACTTCATAAATAATGCCAGGAGCAGCATTATTGCCCAGGAATGCATAGGATGGCTTCAACATGGCTTTATTCTGATTTAAACATGTCTTGGTGTCCTGCCCCAAACCTTCCACCCCGCAGGAAGCTGTGGAGTTTATGGGTACAAGGAGCGGGCACGGGGTCTGCACAGGATTGGTCACACAGCAGATAGGACCTTTAAAAGATCCCTTAAACTCAATCTGTTCTGTGGTTCTATAAAGGGAGAGGACAGGCCTGGTCTTAYTATGGGGATTCCTGTGTTTAGGGCAATGGGACTCCAGTATTCCCAGTCCAGCTGTGAGTAGTATCAATCATTTAAGTGCCCTTTGGTACTCCTTTGGGGTAAATCTTTCCTGGTCCCAAGTCCTAAATCTGTAACTTGTCCCCTACTCCATAACGTACACCATGTCCCCACAAAGAAGGCAAGGGAAGCTTGTGTTGGGTTTCTGAGGAGTTGATTTACATTTTTTGTAGAGTTTTATTGCATTCACAGGAGCCTGATCATSTTCTGTGGTGTTTGTGTGTGTATGTACCTCCCTCGAAACCTCAGACCAACTCTGTCCAACCAAGCTKCTTRKACAGAGCTCAAAAAATTCAGCAGCWGCTCCAGACTGASAGCRTTTAGGAGTTATGAATGAGCAGAGTTACTGGCATTGAGGAGAATGGTATATGTGTATTTAGTGCAGATTCAGCTCTGAGTTAATTACTGTCTCCAGCACCTGAGCTGCATTTTTATAGGTGGGTCATAAAAYGGATGCAGTGACCAGCTGATCCACCTAGAAAATACAGAGAAAGCTGTTTTCCCCCAGGACTAACATTGTTTGAAAGTATGAAGTGCCACTGGGCACAGGAAGAAACCTGGCAGGGCTGGGTCTCAGTTTTCCTGTTCGCACCCTTGTGTCCCTTCTCTTTGCCTTTCTCTTGAAAGCCCTTGAGCAGGTCTAAGACAGGCCCCATCCTCAAGCAAACTTCTGCAATAATTTTTTTTTTTTTTAATTGAGTAAAAAACCACATCTCACTGCCACATCTCGTGGGGACATGAGCAGGGCAAGAGTGCTGAAGAAACACAGGGAAATAGGCTGTGGATGAGCTAGTGGAAGAAAGAGAGTAGAAAAGCAATGATGTAATTCAGCTTTTCCTGTTGAAAATGGCTGTCCTGAAAATTGCCCATGTTAGTCTTTCAACAGTGACACATTGTGAGGTCTGCTCTTCATGTAAAAAAAATAAATTCTTGAGGTRTAGTGGCTCATCTCTGCCCAGTGTCTGTCATCTGAAGGATGAGRTACCTTACATAATGGAGGATTTTATTCTCCAGCACTGTAGCAGCCACTCTGAGGCTGAATTTGATCAATCAGGAAGGTGGAGACCCATTACTGAGTGCTTTGTGGAATAAGGTGTCCCAAAAGGCAGGAATGGCTGTTTTCCAAATGTGCTGCTGAGTTGKCTGTCAGAGAGGATTCAGTGGAATCCACAATTATGAAACTGTTCCTCTCACAGAAATATCTGCTTTAAACTTACCCACTTGAGGCAATAGCAGCAGGCCCAGKGGAAAAATGTCATTATTTAATTTTAGAGACGGGGCAGTGCATCTAACTCTGTTCCAGGGCAGAACATCCCCATGCCAAGGAGGACCCCTGTCTGCAAGACATTAATGTCATGCACTCAAAATGGTGCACAGAGCCATTTTTGGTGTCTTTTCTCCAGGTAAAACCAAAAATTCCAGGGGTGGTAGCAACTGCTCAAAGAGGCACTTTCCATATTTCTCCTTTTAATCAGTGTTTCACAGCAACTGTTTTCAGCAGGAGGGGAGTAGGGAGGGAAATGGGAACTTGTCACTGGTGCAAATTATTGCTCTAAATTCAATGTTCCACAAATGCAGGACACCAGGGAAGGGCCACTAACCAGAGACTGAGAGCAAATGCTTGCCCCARAAGGTGCAGGGTGTCACCCTGATGYCTGATGATTTTTTCCTTTTGTTTTAATATACTTTTAAAATATATTTTATATATTATTTTAAACATTTTTGTATGCTTTTCATATATTCCTTATACCATTAATTTACATATTTATAATTCTGATAACTTAATATTCTAATTTAATTTAGGGGTTCTTCTAGGCAGAGAGATTAAATATCTCCAGTAGAGAATAACTGCACCCCGTTCCAGCCTTGGCTGAAACATTGTCTCTAGAACATATTGTGTAAACTGAACTCCAGCCTCATCCCAGATAAGGTTCTTTAAAATGAGAATACATTACTTCATTTATTAAGTTTCTTATTGGAAAATTCTAAATAAATATGCTAATTTGTAAAATCTATAAAACTTATATACATATTATACACAGTGTACATTTTCCAGCAGTTTTTTTTTCCATTTTATCAGGGTGTACACCTGAAATCCCATTAAATACCAAGGTATTTAATTTTTTAAATTTAATTTTATTTTTTAATTTTATTTTTTAATTTTATTTTTTAATTTTATTTTTTTATTTTATTTTACGCCTCTTAACCATATCTGTGTTGTAACTAAAAACTGGCCCTCAAGGGGCCAGGCAGACTCACTGAAGTCAACAGGGCAATTACAGAGTCAACGCCTCAAGGATGTGCAATGATGTGGCGAGTGCAAAGTGTCAGAAATTTCTTCTAAGTGTCAGAAATTTCCATTTTAATTTCTTTCTTTGGTAAGAGAACTGCTCCCATTACCTGTGCTGCAGTGAAATCTCCACACAGCAAGYTGCTGTGTTTAATTATTCATTTCCTGAAGAGAAACAATTCATCTTCTCTTTTCAAATATCTGCCCTTTCAGTGCAATAAAAGCTGTGCACGCTTTTGCGTGCTTACCCTGCTTCTCCTTCTTGTCCTTTATTTTTAAAATACATATCCCAGTCCTTCTTTTCATAACTGAGGAGCAACTTTATGCAGACTTRGAATTTCACCTTGCRACTCCTTCCATAAGCACTTGAGGTRMTGCACAAAGCAATCCCAAAGGCACACCCAGAGTAAGGTTTCCTGAAGGTTTGGTGCCTTTCCTGCAGGAATGCACTGCGGTTCACTGCTGTTCATTTCTTCTCTTCCAGGTTGGCTGCAAGGCCATGATGGTTTTCTTCCARTACTGTGTCATGGCCAACTTCTTCTGGCTGCTGGTGGAAGGGCTGTACCTCCACACCCTGCTGGTCATCTCCTTCTTCTCGGAGAGGAAATATTTCTGGTGGTACATCCTGATCGGCTGGGGTACGTGTCTGCTGCGAACGGGGTGCAGGGAGGGGATCATGATGGGCATTTTCAGCAGGAATTTAGCACAGATCCCTGAGGATTCAGGTGGGGCAGACATGTAAAATACAGCACCCAGCCCCACTAAGTCCTGAGAAGGATTTGAAGGCTGCTGGTGGATGAGAGGCTGGACATGAGCCCAAATTGTGCCCAAAATCCCAGCTGTGTCCTGGGCTGTGTCAAAAGAAACRTGACCAGCAGGATGAGCGGGGTGATTCTCCCCCTCTCCACTGTGCTTGTCAGACCCCACTCTCAGAGCTGCATCCACCTGTGGGGTCCCCAGCATGAGAATGATGTGGAGCTGTTGGAGAAACTCCAGAGGAGGCCACWGAGCTGCTCCAAGGGCTGGAGCCCCTCTGCCCTGGAGCCAGGCTGGGGGAGCTGGGAATGTTCACTTGGAGAAGGGAAGGATCCAGGGAGARCTCAGAGCCCCTTGCAGGGCCTAAAGGGGCTCCAGGAGAGCTGGAGAGGGACTGGGGACAAGGGATGGAGGGACAGGACACAGGGAATGGCTTCAAACTGAAAGAGAGTAGATTTAGACTGGATATCCAGAAGGGATTCTTCGATCCTGAGTGGGRTCCCAAAGTTGATCTCATKCATTGAGCTGAAATTGTAAGGTTGGATCCCAGCAGAGCAGAACTCCTGGACTGAAGCAGACCCTGCAGTCCATCCCTCTGTCTGTGTTTTTCTGAATTCAGGCCAGGCAGCTGCACTAAGATCCCATCACTTGTGTGCCAATGCTGATAACCTTCTGCTCAATGCTTCATTGATTTCTCCAGCTTTTATGTAAATCCGGTCTCAAACACATCAAATAAAAATAAAAAGAAAAATAAAATATCAGTAATATAAAATAAAATAAAATAAAATAATAAATAGAGCAGAACAAAATAGAATAAGACAAATGGCAAGGAAGAGAGGATTAAGCTCTTCACAAAGTAAGTCACAACTGAACTGCTAACTTATGCAAATTAATCCTACCAGATCAACTTMTTTTATTTCTCCAAAAAGGAACAAGAGATCTTTTTTTTCCCCTTTATGCCATTTAGTTGAGGATTTGTATTTAAGTAAGCAATAACTTTCTACTGCATGCTCTCAATAGCTGAAACTGAGAATTCATTAGGACAGGGAAGAATCTTGAGAAGAAAAAATGAAATTGTGCCATGTCCAGGGATGTGTCTGGACTTGGGATTTGATCAATTATCCATGGAGTAAATTCCACTGAAAGTACCAGGGGCTATGCTCGGATTCACGATTTAAATCAGAGGAAGTTTCTTGCGCTCCTGAGGTGTTCTGAGGTTGCTTAGGTGAAGAAGGGCAATTCCAGACCATGGCAGGTGCTTGAGGGAACTCTTGGCCTTTCAGTCATCCATCATTTGCAAGAGCATCAGGGATGGATCTGGAATTATGCATGAATTAATAATCTGGATGCATTAATTACAGTTCTTACCCGTTTTAGCACCACTGCGCTTGGAAACCACTGATAATGAACCACAGACAATCTGTGAGTAACACAGAGCAGAGAATTGTGTTCTTCCTGGAGTATTTCCAACCTCAGTGCAGCCAAAGACCAGAGACAGAGAAAAGAGCCACCACAAGGATGGGACAAGACCACCCTGGGGTGGCAGATCATGGARTGAGGAGCAGAGGCAGCTTCACCTGGCCAGCCACACACATCTGGGTGTGACCCTGGCACTGCAGGCTCCCTTTGGAGCTAGAGTAGCCCAGGGATATTTCATATTTCTTTTTCTAAATCAAATATTTCCAGGAGCTGCATGRCCTGTGTGTGAGAAGCACATTGTTCTGCCCCTTGATGCTAAAGGCAGCCTGTGGTGACCATCTCAGGGGCAGGTGTCCACACTGCAGAACTCTGAAGTGTTCCCTATTCCTTGAATTTCACCATTTGAAGTTTTTTATAAGCACTGCAACAGGAATATCAGAGTGCTGGGAGCAGTTACAGGATGCTGATYTTGCCTGGCCAGAGGGAGGGAAAGGTAGTGTGAGAGTTGAAAAGGTGAAGCATTTTCCCAGTCCTGAGGAAGGCATCCCCTCAGTCACTCAGGAGAGATGGAGATCGAGGGAGAACAACCCTGAGAAAATTAGGCAGATTTTAAATAATCTGGTAATGAAACCAGATAATCATTTGATTGTGATTTCTGGCAGTAACACCATCTCTTCTCTCCTCAGGAGCCCCCTCTGTGTTCATCACTGCCTGGACTATTGTCAGGATTTATTTTTTCGACGTTGGGTAAGCCTGTGGACTCGATTATCTTTCCTTTATAATTCTGCTTTCCTTTATGGCCAAGGAAAGCCCTGCAGCCTCAGTWACCCAAAACCCAGCAGCGGTGGAACCTCTCCCTCCACATCTAGAAACCTGGAAATGCTCCAAAGTCTCCCTGAAATGTCACTTCAGGCCAGTCACTCACCCTCTCTGCTCCACAGAGCCTTGGTCAGGATATTTRCAGGGAATTTGTGAGTGGACCTGGCTGGTTTCATTTGGCCCCCTGCTCAGAGCAGASTTTTGCCTCCTGCAGAATTGACGCTGAACCGGGAATTAACAAACACATCAAATTCTCTCCCACAGAAAAAGGCTAAAAATTCGATTTTTTTTTTTTCTCAAGCAAGATTTAGGATCTATTCCTCATCTTTTTTAACYTGGCAGCAGCCTTTGGTATTTTATATAAGGAGCAGATAGAATGCAGCTAAGAAAATGAGGCAGATAGCAGAGTTATCCAAGGATATGTGCAAGTAAAGAGGATTTGATCCTGAAATCCTCATTCTTGCTTTTATTCAGGCGGTCGAGCTGCAGTAATTGGAAAGGGTTTTATAGGAAAACATCCCAGAGAGATGCAGAACCAAGTGCTGATTCTGTCCTCAGTGTGCATTCCCTCACTTCTTGCATTAGCATCCTGGAGTTAACTCCATTTTCTCCCATGCATTCTTCCCCTCCAAATGTGTCCTGATTTGCCCTTTTTTCGGTACGAGAAGCAACTCAGATTTCTCATTGCATTTTTGATTTATAGTCATGCCAGCACATTTCCTGAGGGCTCCTCACTTCCTTTATGGTTTCACTCTATCTGCATAAAACTGACCTTATTTACTCTGTTAATAAATAGCCTCCCCAATGACACAGAGACAGGAGGATTTAACCATTCTGGACACCAGCTTTTCTTACTATGTATCCCTGCTCAGCTCCAACAATTCTTAATAAAAAATACCACCTCATTTGTATTTTCTGGGGGCTTTTAAACCCTCCCTCTGTGCTGAGTAAATCAGAGAATGATTTTACACGATATATTAATGTTTAACTTAGATTTTTTTTCATTACCTGCAGAGAAAAATTACAGGAAATTAATCTGGATTAAATAAACCCTAATTATGTATGATTGGTTAAACAACATCAAGCCTCCATTTAAACATTYTAACCCCAGATTAAAGTGACCTTCATTCAGGCTGGCTCAATTTATTTAAAAAATGAAGTGCACTAGATATAATTAGGGCCACTTTAATTCTAAATGAAAGGGCAGCATGCACTAACGATGAGCATCTGCATGTGAGCAATTTGCTCCATCTCCCTCTGGAGTTAGAACAGGTTTAGTCCGTGGAGTGCAATTTTTATCATCCTAAAGCTGATGCCTAAAATAAGACTCAGGAACTGTGCYCTAAAAATGCCTCTCTTCATCTCTTACTGCCTGCACTGCCGACATTTGGAATTACAGGAGCTGAATCTAGGTGAAATTGTCTACAGGAGGCTCCACTAACCTATTCCTGACATGAAAGCAGCCCCATTTCCATGAATGCTTTCCTAAAAATGTACCTTCTATGAACACCTGACTGTGCAGATAAATCTGTCCCAAGAAATACCAGTCATTTCCACATCAGCCCTTTTCTCTCGTTTCCTCCTTGAAGGCAGTTCCAGGTGAGGGGTGCTGGCTTCAGTATTAAATAAATCCCACCCTGGACCCTATGGATTTTCCTAACTCGATCCATAGCTCAGGTGGAGCTCACTGGATTTACTGGGACCAATCCCACCATCCTGTTATTTTTTTCAGAAGGTCATGGTCGGGTTTTTCCCTGATTGTGCCAGTTGCTCTGTGCTTATCAAACCACATTTCCAGGATGGTGGAGAGCACTGATGATTTTTTTCATAGATTTTGATTGATTTTTCGTGGTTTTAGTAGAATTTCCCTGTGGGAGAGCTTGGTGTAGGGGAAATTAAAAGAAGCACCATCCTCTCCCACATTCACCCTGCCTAAAAACCTTCAGCCCATTCCATGACCAAGGGGAAAATCTTGGCATTATTTCTGGGACAACTGATACCTCCCAGTGCTTAAAGCTGCCATTCCCAGTCCATGCACATGAGGTTTAGTCCTCTTCACACAACCCAGCCTAGCAAAACTTGGCTTTTAGAAAAAGCTGAGAAGGGTGCAGACCTGCTTGCTTGCTGTGCTTGGTGTTTTAAGTCTGGCTTTGTTTCTTTTTAGGTGCTGGGAGGAAATAGTGGAATCCCCATTCTGGTGGATCATTAAAACTCCTATTTTGGTGTCTATTTTGGTAAAGTATCAGCACGTTCTGCYGGCTGCAAAGCCATCTTTAGTCCTACGTGGGGAGGGGTGAAGGGGTGTTGAGAAATCTTCTGTAAATGTCCATGGAGAAATGCACTGACAGAAAAAATCCCACTGTACAGTGAACATTTGCCTTGGGATGAAGAAATTCATCCTCCAGATAAACACTTCACCTTTAGCACTGACCATGGGAAGCGTTGGTGTGACCAGGCCACCAGGGTGGAGCTCACTCCATGCAGCTTTGACCACCTCCACCTCCTCGGTGGAGTGGCCGTCGGGGTGTGTAACCAAGGGAGGTTGAGGAATTTTCCTGAGAGATCCAGGAAAGACTCATTTTTCCTAATGAATGAGTGTGTGCCTGAATTCCATCAGATGAACTGGGCTAGGAGTGGTTTTGTGTCCCTGAGCTGACCAGGATGATTCGTTCAGTTGCAAGCATCAACACTACAAAGTAAAATGAGATGAATCCTACCATGAAWTTCTACTTRGATTAAAAGGGAGTAGATGAATTCYCTCAGGAATTTGCTTCTTGCATCCGGTATGGAGTTGCATTCCAGCTGTACATTTTTGGAGTAAGCTCTAGAGAAGCTTGACTGATTTCCAGAAAAATCAGCAGAAGCGATTGATTTTAATTCTCAGGATATGATCAATCCCTACTATAGAAACCAGGACACTTCCAAGGAACTCTGGGTATTTCCATTCTTGTTGAACATTACTCTGTTGGGCATGGAGCCAAAACTTAAAATCCATGAACTGGGGTTAAACTTAGCTTTGAACTTTCTTAGATGAAGGAAAGGAGGTGGGAAGGGGAAAAAAAAAAGTAACAAAAATAACCCTAAATATATCTATTTTAAAAACAAATCTTTCCTTAGACATTCTTCTTATTCCATTTACCTGACGGCCTTTACAAGAAGACTTTTTTTTTTTTTCCTGTAGCATTTGTCTTACAGGGATTCCAAACTGCAAGTTCCAATAATGACATCTTGCTCTGTTTACCTCACTGAAAAAAAAATACAGCACTTCAATGACACATCTCCAAATATTTATATCATCCTAGGAAGCTATAGATAGTATTCTCCCTTTCCTGAGATGAGCTTTCAGTCAAAAAATACAYGCTATTATTCTCCTTGGATCAGTGAGTCTGTATTTTCTTTTGGCCAATAAATCTTCTCCTCATCCCCAAACAGAATTTACCCAGCAGCTCCTGATTTTCCTTCAGYAGATATCCCATAAATCTCTCACACAGAAAGGGCAGATAGGCACTATCTGATGTGCAGCAGGTTTCTCCAGGGAGTAATACAGCATTTCCTCCAGATCCATGGGAATGCAATTGATATCTCAGTGTAAGGAAGAAATACATATAATACAAGATGTATAGGATCTTTGAGGTACATGAGATATATCTTATATATAGTTAAGCCCTGAGAACACATTGAGCACCTTTGATTATACTATAGGCCGAAAAAAAAATAATTTTAACAACTTCTCCAGTATCCTGATTCCTGTATTTTCTATCATGGAATGCCAAGGTTTTGCTAAGCCTATAAGGCACAGTTCAGTGCTCTGAGTCTGTGTTTTCTCTTGACCACTCCAAGTGAGGACAGTCGGTATTTAATTGTTCCATCCTTACTTTCCGTGATGCAGCTTGTGTGAGAGAGGCAGGTTTTAGAGAAAAATGCACAAAGATAATGATTTAAATCAGAGGAAGTTTCTTGCACTTCTGAGGTGTTCTGAGGTTGCTTGGGTGAAGAAGGCAATTCCAGACCATGGCAGGTGCTTGAGGGAATTTGTGTGTTACCAATGGTCATGCATGTAATTGATCTAGATTATAATGGTTTGAACTAATAAATTTGACTTGCAGCCAAATCTGACACACAAACCATTTTATGAGGAAATAAATACAAATAGAAACAGTGATAAATGGCAGGAGAGATAAAAAGTGATTAAGCAATGCATCATAACTGAGAAATGCAATTAATATCCAATCATTCACAGCCTTTGAAAAGAGAGTGTCTGTTGGAGAGATGTTCTTCAAGTCTTTTTTATTCACCTAACCTTGAAATAAGTGTAGGAATTGCTGGAAGAAATYTTCCAATCTATTTTTGCAGGGAATCAGTTTGCCTGGTTTAACACAATCCCTTCCAGCCGCTGGGCCTCTAAAGATCAGCATCATTTGCACATTCACTGACCATGAAAGGATAAATAAAGGGGTTGTGGGYCAAACTAAAACTGAACGAAGTCCCCAGAAACCTGTCATTGGTTTTGTGTGTTCTGTGTTGTGTGAGTAATATGATGACWCAATGGATAGGACCTTGAAGGGAGTAATTTGCATTCTATTCATGCCATCAAGACATTCCCATTCCCAGCTCCACACCTTGGCTCTCAAATAAGGCTCACATTGCTTGAGTAGGTTGGTGGAGCACTGTGGGACTTTGGTGGTGAAAAGGACCACCCAAAATCTGGGTATCAGCCAGACTGCCCCGGTCTAACATCCCAGGAGGGAACGTCTCTCCCTGTCCTGGTGAGGTCTATCCCTTGCTGCACAAGGCCTCCAGGCAGCACACTAGGGCTGAGCAGAGGCCCTCTGGAGTGGATTCTGCTTCGTGCTGTGGTTTGGTGTCCCTGGCTCAGCGCCTCGGTCGGTGTTGGTCCCGCTCAGCGCCGGTCCCGTGTCAGCRCCCCACCCCGCCGTCGGCACTCCCGCGCGCTGCAGGACGTCGTGCGGAGCTGTGCTCTATGGGCTTGACATCATCATACTTGGGATGTATGACACGAAGTCCCAAGCAGGCTGATGTCAGGCCCAAGATGCCATCCTGTGTCGGTTTTCTGTGAGCCCCGCCCCGAGCTCGTGGCTCGTTGAACGGCAGCTCGTTCCGTGGCAGAAATAATCCAGTGAAAGGAATTCCCCTCTAGTGATGGGCTCTTGTCACTTTAAAAAAAAATCCTTATGGTTTACCCCTCTCTCTTCCCACCCTGACAGGTGAACTTCATCCTCTTCATCTGCATCATCCGAATCTTAGTCCAGAAGCTGCATTCCCCAGATGTTGGGCACAATGAAACCAGCCAATACTCGTAAGTCCCAGACTTTTTCCAACCCTGTCCTGTGATTTTTGGGAAATCTTTTTGCCTGCTTGGTGGGTCATTATTGCGTCTTAGCTCATGATTGCCTCTGTCTGCACTGATCAGAATCAATTAATTTAAATTGCATAAGGCAGATTAGAAATCAGGAAATGGAGCATTTGCTAAAACAGCTGGGCAGGTTTTATGTCAGTTTGTGGCAGGTGAGAGGGATTTCTCCTGGGATTAATGATGAAGAAAGAAGAATAACAATAATGATCATGAAGCAAAATACAATTTTTYTTTGAATATTTAATATCTATTGGATTCTGAAGGCAGAAGGACCATGAGGAAAACAAAGAGTTGCTCTCCACAGCGTATGGGCTTTTTTTTTCCCCGACCCACAGTTTTAAATAAGGAAATATCTAGAAAATCAGTACATTCAATAGAATCCATGACAAATTTTYCTTATCCTAAAGCAGATCTCCAAATGAGATTGGATTAATTCAATACATTTCTCTTCACTACTGAGAAGGATCACTGTCTCTGAAGTTTTACTCGACTTAATGCTTTTGTTCTGGGGATATGAGGTTGACCTTAATGGGGCTTTATATAATGAACAACATGCAAGGGAGATCAGCATCTCTCTCAGTAGCCAAGGCTGGTCTTAAACTGCAGTTTTTTAAGAGTGAAAGAAATTTTTATCTTCATGAATTTATTCTGGCTTCAATGCAAATAAAATAAAAGTTCGGACCAGATTATTTTTGACTTTTCCCACTGTTCTGGCCTCGCTTTTCAGYGATCCTGGATATTTATAAAATGTTTCCTAGAAAAGAATTAAATGAAAAATGTCCAATGTCTGCATGGTCACTGCTCATAAATCTTTGTCTTCGGAGGGAGCTGTGCTTTTGGGTATCCTGAAAAATCTGAGCTCAGCTCTTCTTCAGGATGGAAAGCAATAACAGTATGTTCCTTAAATCCTGCCCAGYCCTGACACTGAGCCTTTCTCTTTAGTGATGGTGAATTATTCATTTCATCTGCCTTGAGAKATTCTCAGATTTACGGAGGGAAATGCCACTTTTTGACCTTAATTTTCCTGGCAGCAGCCGGAGCCAATTCCCTACTTTTCTGTCATCACAACACACCAGCATTACCAGACTGTGCCTTCCGCCACCTCCCCTTCTGTATTTCCAGCTGGGAATTSTATCTTTGCACCCCAGGTTTGCAGCAGGTGCATAGATTAAATCAGCATATGGAAATATGTTCYAGCCCTAAGCAGCATCCTGGCACTGTGGGCTCCTGCTGCCAGACTCATCCCAAGAGTTATTCCCAGATTTTCTCGGAGGTCATGCTGGGTTTTGGGTTCACRACACGTTTTCCAGAGAGGTGGGAGCTGCCAGGAATGCTCTTTGTGCCTTGTGAACAAAGGAAGAGCAGCTGTTGGTGAAACACGGGCTTGGCCTTGCTGACCTGCCCAGGCAGGGATTCTGCTGGACTGGTCTCACATCCACAGCTCCTCACCTTCCTGCACCACCTGGAAACGCTGCTCAGCTCCATCAGGGAGTGAATCAGCTCCTCACTTCACAGAATCATGGAATCSCACAATGTTTTGGGTTGGGARGGACCTTAAAGCCCATCCAGTGCCACCCCCTGCCCTGGGCASGGAYACCTCCCACTGTCSCTGGGTGCTCRGAGCTCCATCCAAGCTGACCTTAAAGCTTTATATTTCCAAGCCATATGAGACATTTTAGGACATTTTAAATGCTTGCTTGGACCTGGCACAGAGGGCACAGGACCTGTGGGAGATTGGTACCCTTGTACAGTGTCACCTGGCCACCAACAACATTCCCTGGGGCACTGGAAATCTCTGTTGACCTCAGTAGGTAGAAGACACCACATTTTTCTATGGAAACAAATATTAATAGTTTGAAACTGAAAGCTGACTCCCACCAGGGAGAGTTCTTGGTGTAATCCTAAGATTTTTACTTTTAGACAGCAATCTGTGGAGAGTTCTGGGGTCCAGAGCCTGGGGTTTGCTGCAGGAGACAACAGTTCTTAGCAAAAAAGGGCTGCTGATGAAATGTTGAGGGAGCTGGAGGTGTTTAGGCTGGGGAAGAGAAGGCTCAGGGTGACCTTTTTGCTTTCTATAACTCCCTGAAAGGAGGCTGGAACCAGGTGAGGGTCAGGCTCTGCTCCCAGGCAATGAGTGACAGGATGAGATCAAACTGTGCCWGGGAAGGCTCTGGCTGGACAYCAGGASGAATTTCWTCACCAAAAGGGTTGTTAAGCCTTGGGATGGGCTGYCCAGGGAGGTTTGGAGTCTCCACCCCTGGAGGTGTCCAAGRAAGGCCTGGATGTGGCACTGAGTGCTCTGGGCTGGGGACAAGGTGGGGATCAGTCACAGGTTGGGCTCGATGGTCTTGGAGGCCTTTCCCAACCCAAATGACTCTGTGATTCTGTGTGGGTTCCTCCTGCTGAATCTGAGACAAATCTGTTTTGAACTAACAGCACCCTGGATGTCTCRTTTGCATCTCTCCCTCCTTCTCTTGTGTATTTTATATTGCTTATTTTCTACAAACACAGCCTGCTGACAYGCTGACAGCATTGCTCAGCTCCAAAAGGTTTGAGAGGTTTGAGTTTAGCTGCAGGCTGGGAGTTCAGGTGTGCTGCTGACTCACTCATTAATGCTGCAGATGGGGAACTGGGCTTGAGCTTCCTGAGAAAAATTACACTGTGACTGGGCAAGATGGACTTCCTGATTGCAGTGTTGAGATGGTGGAGACTTTGAAATACCACAGGGCCCTTGCCTTGATGCCAGAGTAAAACATAAAACTCAGTATCTGGGGAAACTCGGTGTCGGGAGCAAGAGATCAGTGTGAGGTGTTGTGCAAATTGGAGGAGGGGGCTCCAGGTTTGGAATTTATGTCCTTTTCACTGCCACAATCCAGACAGGAGGGGAAATGCTGTGATTAAGCCACCAATGCTGTCTGAAATGACAGGAGAGCATTTTCTAACCCACTGGAGGTTCCAAACAGCATCTCTGTGAACGTGGTACACAAAGGCAGCATCACATCTTCTCCTCTAGGCTGATGTTCCTCAGAGACTGGGGAGGGAGGACAGATCTCTGCAAAGCCATTATTGATATGGATATTATTGATAATCACTTGGAAAATGAGTGACTTTCTCATATGGCAGGATTTGGGGGATTTAGGGCTTGGTGACAGCAGTGTGGGCCCCACTGGCCAGAGCTTCTGGGAGTGAGGAACAGGAGACACTGAGGGTAACCACAGACAGTGACAGTCCTGTGGCAGAGCAAGGCATCCGAGGGAACGCAGATTTTGGATCCCTGTGAGCAGGGATGTGGGAAAGGCAAATTCCTATAAAAATCCTCAGCTTCTTGCAGGCTYTGCTTTTGCCTGGGATGAGCCACAGCCTCCAGTCACAGCCTCAGTGTGGAGCTGTCTGTGGGCCAGCCCAGGCAGAGCTGGAAAGGTTGGTTGGGACACACAGGGATGAGCATCCTCTGCACAAAGCTGCCACATCAGCCTCCCCAGCAGGCTTGTRCAGGTGGCAAATCAATGGAGATGGCCTGAGAGGACTGAGCCTGGTGAGGCTTTGGAGGTGAAGGGGTTGCAGGTGGAAGAATTAATATTTCCAACATCCCAGCCTTTGCTTTATTTCCTACTGAAGCCTTTGAGAGAGGGAGATGCCACAAGATGCGAGTGACCGAGGGAGACAAACCCCATAAGCATCCTCAGGTCCTTGATTTCATTTTCTTTCTGCCAGCTATTTTTTAGTAATGATTACATTTAATACATTATCATCTCTTTCTAATTAGACCCCTGATTACCCAGCGTGATGCCATTAAGCACTAACACTGTTCATCCCCCTCCTTTGGAGATACTCATTGTGCAATAGCCTGTCATTATCCCCAGCCAAACATACCATTTTTCTCCCAGAAGCTGTAATTTTCAAAAATCCCAGGCAAACAAAGACATTGCTAGATGATGATTTAGCCTGTAGAGATTAAAAAAAGATACCTCGTGGGAAGGGAAGAGGAGAGAAGGGAGAAAGAAATAYTTCCAGTGGAGCTACTGGGAATAAAGATGTCACATTTTACGGTGCCACCACGTCTGAAATCAGCAGCCAGCTGCAGTGTGTGTGACAAGGAGAAATGGCCTSGGGCTGATTGCTCTGCCTGAGCTGGAGACACAAATCTATTGATACAAGAGCTGCTGGAAACAGGAATTGCTCCCAGCACGGCCCTTGGTCAGTCTGAACTGTCACACAGCGCCTGTGCCCAGCTCAGGGTCCCCCTTCACRTGCCATTGCACCCCAGCCCAGGCCATCAGGGTGCTCCAAGCTGTGAGGAGCATCTCAACACCCCCTGTGTGCTGTGCAGCACCCTGATGCTCCCTTGCTGCTGAAAGGCTGGATGTTCYCAGAACCTCGGGGTAAAAGCCTCATTTCACACATCCTGAGGGCACCTGAAGCAATTTAACACATAAATTCAGGYTGCACCATCCCAGTCTGGGTCATCAGCAAATTTCTGCTGCAGCAAATGAAGTTTCCAGGRCAGCACAGGGCCCAGCTGCAGGATTTTTCATCGCCTTACCCTCCTCCCTCTCCCCTCATCACTCATGTTTGTCTTTCCAACAGGAGGCTGGCCAAGTCCACTCTGCTGCTGATCCCTCTCTTTGGCATCCACTACATCATGTTTGCTTTCTTCCCTGACAATTTCAAAGCAGAAGTGAAGCTGGTCTTTGAGCTCGTGGTTGGCTCGTTCCAGGTAAGCCACCCTTGGGGCCACCAGTCTGTCACCAGGTGTGTCATCAGAGAGAAGGGTGACMAGCTCAACATGGCAATGAGCTGTTTCTTTTTGGACATGCCCCATATTGCTTTCGTACCTTTAAGGAAAAGCTGCTTATTCCAGCTTGGCCAGGATGGAAGATAAATTTATGTTTTGCCCCCTGGAGTCCCAGTAGGAGATTTTCTATCCTCATTTTAAGGAATGACGAGAAAATGTTCCTCTGTGTGTTCCTCTGTTGGTCTCTCTGGGTTTCTTTTTTTTTTTTTTTTTGTACTTAAGGGAGAAAAATGAGCACCTCAGTTCAGTTGATGCATTATTGACATGTCTGAGGCCAGGGAGGATGGGGTTTTGAGCAAGTGCCATTCAGTGGGGAATGATTAACATCCCCGTCTACATGCTCATCACTGCACATCTGACATCTGGAAGTGTTCAAAAAACGTGCAGATGTGGCACTTGGGGGCACGGTTTTGTGCTGGGGGAATGGTTGGGTTTAGAGATCTTTTCCCACCTTAACAAATCTGTGACTGTGTGATCTCTTCTTCGAAAGCTGAGTGGATCTGCTCTCACTCCTTGCCTGTAGTGCTAAAAGCCTGTTCTGTCCTTTCCCCAGGGATTTGTGGTGGCTGTCCTGTACTGCTTTCTCAACGGAGAGGTAAGAGCAGCATTGTTTGGTTAATGTTTGCAGTTAGAACAGAGTGAATTCATGTGGGGAGGGGATTGARGAGTGCTCCATTCCGGATTCCAATGTTGCAATACTGGGGGGAAGCATTCAAGTCAAATCTCTCTCTCCAGGAAAACAATTCAACCATTTTCCTGGCAGTTTTCAACACAATTAATAAAAGCTGCTCACAAACAGATCAGTATTGCTACAGAGCCCATCCTTTCCTCATGAGASAGCATCAGCAGAACTCCTGTGTGAACTTGCACAAACCCTGATTCCAAAGGAGCACCTTCAGCAGGGCAGGGTAAAGCCCATCTAAGCCCTGATCATGCTCAGTTCCTCGAGGAATCCTCCCCAGGATCACATTCCCTGCCAAAACCAACACAGGCATTGGTGGGACTTGTCAGAGCAGTGCAGGTGAAGGTGTTTCTGCCTTGCAGGCWTTGGTCTTGCCTTTCCCACATTTCTAGCCCTGGGGTTCTCATCCTGGGGTTGTGCTGCTCCTGTGTTTGCTCATCCCACAGCCTCTTGGACACGCCTGTTTTATCTAACCTGTGTTGTTCTCTGAAAATATGGACTGGAAGGAAGGGACCAGATTTGTTCAGGATTTGAACTGGAACTGTGTAAACCAGGTTATTCCTGTAAGTTCTCTGAGAAGGAACGAGTAGCTTCTGTCAAAAAAAAAAGCACAGCTGTATTGACAGCTTTACAGACAAGCTGCAGTTAAATACTTTCTATTTGGACCAAAGACAGGGCAGTGAAAAAAAAAA